TCCACGTGTTGGCCCCACGCCGGCAGCCAGGCCACCACCCAGTGCAACCCACACGTAGACCCGGGTTAGAGGCCGGCGCCGCCACCCTCCACCCCACGCAGGTAGCGCTCACCTCAGCGCTCGCGGCGCCTCCACCTTCAGCTTTTTGGGCTTCGGCTCCTCCTCTGCCGTGGCCATCTTCGCGCTCCCACTCCACTTAGGATCCAGCGTGCGCCCCACCCCTTCGGCGCTGCAGTGCCACCCCCGCCTCGTAACACCGCCTCCGTTTTTACAAACCCCTCCCTCTCGGCTCCTCCCAGTTCACGCCTCTCCCGCCCGCAATCATTGGCTCGACCCCTCAGCTCCACCCATTGGCTAGTACCGCCCCTTCCCGGTCCCGCCCCTCCTCGTAGGGGGCCAACCCGCCCTCCCGCAGATTGTGTTAGGTTGCGGATGAGCGCCTGAGTCCAGGAACGCGAAACCCCCTCATTTTTCTGAATTCTCGGGGAATCTAAAATATTTGAACCCTAAAACTCAAGAGATGTATTTCTTCTCATTCGACACCTTCCCGCTTACTTAACCTTTCCAAATCTGTAGACCTGGTTGGTCTCCTTGAAGTTGTCAGTCAGGCAATCTACTGGGCACTCCAACGGCGGGGTCCTCACGGCCTACTCCGCTGCCTCAGTCCCGGAGCGGAGAGGACCCGGCGCCGAATCACTGACAGGCCCAGGTGTCGGGGTGAGTGTGAGGGGCGGGGAGTCTGCGTTCTGGGGACGGCTGGAAAACGGGGGCGTAGGCTGACTATCCTGGGCTGCGGGCGCGTCTCCCGCGCTGCGGGCCGGGGCCGCGATCTCCCTCCTGGCCTTCCGGGCTTTCTTGCCAGCCGGGCCGGAAGGGACGGTGCCCCTACAGCCCTGTGTTCGCAGGCTCCAGGCCCGAGCGGTTCAGGCTCATTGGGGTCCCTCTCCGTTCTCCGGCGCGGGAAGAAGGTCTTGTCACCCACCGTGAGCTGGAGTGCCGACGACTTGGACCTCAGCCCAGGCTTCTGCTTAGGAGAACCAAACCCGGGACGGACCTGAGCGCACATCCTGTTAGGATAGAGGGTGGCGCCTGGAGGAGCCAGGTGCGGGGAATACAGTGAGGAGGGTGCTGCCGCTCCGAAGACTGACAGGTGGTGGGAACCTAAGCAGGAGGTGGCGAGGAGTACGGGAGAGCGATGGCCAGTGTGGCTGCTCGCACTTGGTAGATGTGGCTTGGATCTGGAGCCGAAGCTGATAGCGTACGTGGTTAAGAAGGGGGTGCCTCGATAAAATCGGGAGCCCTCGCGCGAGGAGGAGGAATTTTGTGGAACTTGGGATGTATCGGGTTCGCGACGGTGGTTTAGGCAGGGATGGTAGAAGGATAACAGGAAGAAAGCATGGGGAGTGAGCCGGAAGGAGACGTCCAAGGTGAGAACAAAGCAGGTGGAGTTTCGTATAGTAATAGGGTAAGAAGTATTGGTTTTGTTTGGGGGAATGTTATCAGTGACAGGAGATGCTGCCAGGGTTCAAGGAGCCCGTGGGAGTGTGAGACCGGGTGGCTGGATGTGAGGATGAGGAAGTTAGAGAGTCGGCTACTGAATGGAGAGACTGCCGGTGCGGACGTGATCCTTCTTCCCTTGGAGCACGGAGCAGACGCTTATTGAGGTGGGCAAGGTTCCTGAAAAGCTTGAGGTTTGTTTGTTTTTAGGAATGCGTCCAAATATTCTTTTTTTTAAAATATATTTTATTGATTTTTTTTTTTTTTTTACAGAGAGGAAGGGAGAGGGATAGAGAGTTAGAAACATCGATCAGCTGCCTCCTGCACACCCGCTACTGGGGATGTGCCCACAACCAAGGTACATGCCCTTGACCGGAATCGAACCTGGGACCCTTCAGTCCGCAGGCCGACGCTCTATCAACTGAGCCAAACCGGTTAGGGCCCAAATATTCTTTTTTTTAGGCACCATTTCCTTGACCCGGCTGCACCATTATCTTCGGTGCAGAAAACCAGTTAACCAATGTATAACATTAAAGATTCAAAATGACAAATGGAAGGGTTCGTTCTGGAAAGAAGGGAGGACACTTTCCATTGAAACCATAGGAAAAGTGGAGAAATGAGGTGAATGAAGAATTGTCCAAAACTTAACGTATCTTTAGTAGGAAAGCTCTCTTTGCAATCAGATTAGCTTTTCATATTGAATCTTGGTATTTTTACAGTGTTTCTAAGAAGCATTCAACTATTGGAGTTCCCTGCAGAGTAGATACTTGTAAGGTGCTCAGTAGTATCTCAATTCGTGGGTAGGAAATGGTATTTGTAAAGAAGAGGAATTCTCTCTCCATCTGCAAATTACCTTCCTTCCTGTTACACAGAGAAAATAAAAGCCATCGTCTTCCTGCAACCAAATATGTAAACCTTCTTCCCATTTGTTTAAAGAGGAAAAAATGTCCCTTCTCCTTATGGAAAACAAATCCTTTCACCTAGTTGACCAATGCCATCCTCTCCTACCTTTACAGGGTTTTCTTTCTTTTTTTAGTTATTCTCTCCCCTACATCATCTACCTTCCCTGCTCTGCTCACACCTTTTCTTTCCAATTTAAAAATATTCTTCCTTAACTTTATGAACTACACCCATTTATTTGCCTGTCTTTTCATTTCCTTCACAACTAGAGTTCTTGAATGTATCATCTGCTCTCCTTATCTCTGTTTTTCCCACTTCTTGCTACTTATTTCTCATTTCTCAGCCCTTTATAGTATAACTGGTTTCCAGTTTTTCATTAAACTGTCACTGAAACTGCTTTTAATAAGATCATCAACATCCTCTCTGTGTTAAATTATATATTCTCAGTAGGGACAAGAAAAAATCATATTCTTTTTATAAAGCACAAATATCTCAAAAGTACATAAAGAAATATACAGTATATACTTGTGGTTTGAAACTTTCTAGGGGAGGGGTATGATAGAAGGGGAGTCTGAAAAGGCTCCTTTAGCAGGTAATAATGAAAAGAAAGTTGAGAAACTTAAATCAACACTTTCAGTTCTTGTAGCTTGAACTGTTTGTGCCATTTACGATGTTTAAAACTCCATTCTTCTGGAAGCACACTAACACACTATAGTTACTAAAAAACCATTACCTTCTCTGCTTTTTTCTTATCCTTTTTCAGCCAAATCTTTTTTTTTTTTTTTTAGAGTATGTTTATTAAAATGGGACAGTGAAGCAAGGAGGGTCTTAGGATAGAAGAGGCAACAAGAGAGGCTAGGCGGGCTGCTTTGGCTCTAGAACAGATGGGAAGGAGGTGAGCCAAGGCGGGACTGATACCAGCTCACAGGAAAATCAGAGAGAAGGGGGCCTTGGAGACGGTTTAGGGCGTTAGCCTGGGATGAGGTGCCACTGGCCATTGCTCTCCTGGTTGCAAGTCTCATGGGGACCCTTAGCGTTTAGGAGATGAATGCCTGTGGGGGGAAGAAGAAGGGGAAGGAAAAAGGGCCGGCTGACTCCCAGGAGGGAGAGTGCATCCAAATATTCTTTTTTTAGGCACATTTCCTTGACCCAGCTGCTACTCAAATGTTGGAGTTCCTTTCACAGACTCTCTTCAATTCACACTCTCTCTTTGTAGTTTTATTCTCCTTAGAATTACAATTCCCATTAACAAAAATAATGATTATTAAACAAATCTATTTCCAACTCGGCTTCTCTTGGGAGCACCAGACCCATATATCTTTTGCATATGTCCGTTTGATTCAAATATAACCAGAATTGGGTCTGATCTTACAGAACTAGGGTTCAATGCCTCATTTTCCCTCTCATACCCCCCTCTTCTCCCTCCCCAGTCTTTGCTCAAACCAAAATGTTTCTCTTATCTTTTCATTTTACTCCATCCCCACTGTCAACATTCTGGTTCAGGCCACAGCCATAACGCATCTCTCAACTGGTCTCACAATAGCCAGTTTCCCTTTTATGCAGTTGCCACTGTGCAATCTTCCTAAAACTGTAAATGGGATTGTATGAATCCCCTGCATTAAACGGTAAAAATGATTTTACGTTGCCCTGAGAACAAACTGAACCCATCTCTGCGTATTTCATCTCACCATTCCCCTCACCTTCTAAAGTTGCTAAATTTTACTGGATTTCTTTATCTTGTGTTCTCTCTCACCGTAAAGCCTTGCAAATTTCTATAGTACACTGCATTTCCCTGTCATAATAGGATTTACATCTTACTGTATTGAGTTTTTTGCCTTCTTTGTTGAACTCTAAACTCTTAAGTTCAGGGCCTGTATTTTGTTCACCCCTGTCTCCCCATTATTTAATATAGAAAACATTCAAAACTACTTGTTGAGTGTACAAATGGTCAAAATATTGGCTGAGAATCAGTGAGCCAGATTCTTTTCTGGTCTCATTCTCTCACCTTGGATATGCCTCTCTTGCCTTCCATGCCTTTATTCTGTTCTATATAGAGGGAATACATTTTCTTTTTTCTCTTCCAAGGATATTTTGACTATTGTAATTGCACTGCTTATGTATCATCAGGATGAGTATGTCCAACATTTGGTAAAGGGGATTTATGAAGTATTTAAGCTGTAGTCAAAGCTCTGATGGGACTGCCTCTGAAGACAGTTTCTCAAGTGGCTTTAAAATAACTGGGAGAATTCTGTTTTCTGGCTCAAAGTCACTAAGAACAAAAAGATAGTTGTGGTGGTGGTGTGTGTGTAGCTTTTCCCAGGAGGTTTTTAAAAATAATAAAAGAAGTAAGTGCAGCTACTAAAAGAGTAAGTAGCGGAAGAAACAGGCTGCAAGTGATATTTATTTAATTGTTATATGCATTAGGTCCTTGGTCATAATATGGATCCAGGAAATAAGCTCTCTTTTCGTATAGTAGAAGGTTAAGATGGGTTTTTTAAGCTAAGCACTAATGAAAGCTACGAAGTGTTATGCTTTCATCTCAGCACTAAGGATAACAATAAATCCAGATGGCCAGTTTAACGTGCTGTGTTCTTCTGAGATCTGAACTACTGCCAATGAAAGCAACTTTGGTGGAAACTTTTCCTGGAAAGAATTTTTCACCAGCTTAAAACGATGAGTAGGAATCTGGCCTCTAAAAATAAAGAAAACTTCAAAGTCGCTTGTTTCAAGAACAGCAGTCTTTTAGGGTGTATTGGAGCAATGGAGTACCACAGATACATGTGAACTATTCTTTCTATAAGATAAATGGTTGAAGAAGAGAACATATATCAGCTCCTTTAAATATAATTGCTGCTCTAAATAATTTATTAGAACACACTTTGGCTTCTAACTATACAAGAAGCATACCCTTCAACTATTTCTCTTAATTATAAGTTCAAACAGCACATTTGCTGCCCAGTCCAATATGGTAACCACTAACTACATATAATTAAAATTAATTAAAATTAAAACTTCAGTACATCAGTTGCATTAGCCAAATTTCAGGTGTTCATTAGTCACATGTGATTAGTGGTACTGTATTGGACAGCACAGATACAGGACATATACATCATTGCAGGAAATCCTATTGGGTGGTATTTTATGTTTCTAACTAGAGGCCCGGTGCACAAAATTCGTGCACAGGGGGTGGGGGGGGGCCCTCAGCCCAGCCTGCACCCTCTCCAATCCAGGACCCCTCAGGGATGTCTGACTGCCAATTTAGGCCTAATCCCACTGGTATTTTGTTTAGGAGTTTTGTTTCCTAAACCGGCAGTCGGACATCCCTCTTGCAATCCGGGACCGCTGGCTCCTAACCGCTCACCTCCTTGTCTGCCTGATCACCCCAACTGCTCCCCTGCTTACCTGATCGCCCCTAACTGCCTCTGCCTGATGTCCCAACTGCTCCCCTGCCAGCCTGATTGCCCCTGACTGCTCTCCCCTGCCAGCCTGATCACCCCTAACCGTCTCTGCCTCTGTCTCTGCCACCGTGGCTTTGTCAAGAAGGACGTCCGAAAGACATCCGGTCTAAATAGCATATTACCCTTTTATTAGTATAGATACTGTGTATTGTGTTAATTGATTTTCATATGTTGAAACCATCTGTGCATTCTTGGAACAAATCGCACTTGGTCAAGGTATATCAGTATAATATTTTTTTATGATGTTGGATTCAGTTGCTGGTATTTTGTTTAGAAGTTTTGCTTCCATGTTTTTAAATGAAAATGGTCTATAGTTTCTTGTATTGCCTTTTCTGGGTTTGGTGTCAGGATAATATAAAGATACCTTTGATGTATACTAAATTTAAACTTTTTTTCCCCAGAAAATGATCCACAGTCTATTTCTCATAAACTGTTCCGGTGACATATTTCTAGAGAAGCACTGGAAGAGTGTTGTGAGCCAATCTGTCTGTGATTATTTCTTTGAAGCTCAAGAGAAAGCTGCTGATGTTGAAAATGTACCACCTGTCATTTCAACACCTCACCACTACCTCATCAGTATCTATAGGGATAAGCTCTTCTTTGTGTCTGTCATACAGACTGAAGTGCCACCTCTCTTTGTAATTGAATTCCTACATCGAGTTGCTGACACTTTTCAGGTTGGTTATTCATTAGATCTTTGAACTTAAATTACCCAAGATAGTTGGGGGGGGACACATTATTATATTTTTTAACTATCCAGCTTTTGTTGTGCTGTCTGTCCTACTGTCCCTCTCTCTCTGTCTTCAACTATGCATAAACCCTTTTATGTAGGGTATACAGTAGCACACATGGCTGCTCCATTCACTGTTTCAGGAGAACAGAAAACTCTCATTGGCATGGAAGCCTTATTTTTTATATGTATTATAAATTATGTCATCAGGAAACAATAGTGCTTTCCACACACAGTTCTCTGAGTGGTCCCAAGATTTTTATTGGTCATGAAATCTGATGTTCACATTTTATTTTTTTCGTTTTACTGAATATGACAAATACTTTAATCTGTGTGTTTTGGGGTACCTAATCGGGACAAGGGGAGTTTATAGTTCACATTCTGGTTCAATGCTTCACTGTACTTTCTGGCATAATATGTAATAGAAATTCAATCCAGAAATTTAAGAAAATATTATATAGAACTATCAAAGGGTTTTTTCCCCCTTTGTTTTACATTCATTGAATTATGCAACTGTAAGTTTACCCTTCAGAACAAAAAGTATTTAGCAAGCCTTTCTTCATTCCTTCCGTGGTATTTTATCAGGACTACTTTGGTGAGTGTTCAGAGGCTGCAATTAAGGATAATGTGGTCATAGTGTATGAGCTCTTGGAAGAAATGTTAGACAATGGATTTCCACTGGCTACTGAATCTAACATTTTGAAAGAACTGATTAAACCACCAACAATTCTCCGTTCTGTGGTCAACTCTATTACAGGTGAGGCGAAAATACACTTTATTAGGAATTGAGCAACTAAAACCTTATAAACAACTCAACACCATTTCTTATGATCTGGCAGATCCTTAAGATAGTCCAATTTGGCCAGAATTAAAGTTAGTGTTGAATTTTAAATGGATGTATATTTCCTTTCATGTTTAAAAATCGATTTATTTTGCTGGGTCTTAAATGCTAAAGAACTTCTTGGTTATTACTCTTTTATTATAGGTTTTTCTACAAAACCATAATAATATTACTATTATGTAATACTAAATAATAAGACTAAATAAATGATCAGTTAATCCTAAAGAAGCAAATGTCATGATGGATGTTAATGAATCTTACTATGATAATTATTTTGCAATATATACACATAAATCACTCTATCGTATACCTTAAACTTAATATTATATGTCAATTATAACTCAATAAAACCAGAAAAAAATAAAAATAATATTAAAAAACCAGTATATGCTGCTACCCTACAATTAATAAAGTATAGAAAATGTGAGACTTGCTACCACAGAGTATATACTGTCTCCTCCAGGTCTTTGTTTTATACATGCAAGTGCTCCCTTTGGCAGCTCATTTATACATGAAAAAGATGTGTTAAGACAGAAAGACAAGAAATTAAGTCTGTTTGTGATATCTCATGCATTGTGGACCTTGTACTTGTGTTATAAATTTCCAATTCTGATTTAATTCTTCAGTAGGGCTAGAAATTAGGTACATTCAGATGACAATATTCTTTTGAAAAAAATTAAAGTCTTCTAGAGAAAGATTTCTATGAAATGTTATGTGCCATTCCAACTCTACTGTCCACCATTGTAGATGCCTCTCCAAGTGCACTAATCTAAAGTGGGTGAGAGAGGCCTATAAGAAACCGCTCATTCCATAGCTCTTATTCATCCTCTGTACAAGGCTGAATGTCAGGAGAAATTCAAGGAAAGAGAAGATGGCATGTCTGTGCTCCTTCCTAAAACTTATACTCTGGATGGGAGGGAACTGGAAAAAAAAATTAAAATTGAAATACACAAATAACAGTATAAGATTTTTAAAAGCAGTTTCATACTTTGTAGGTGATATAGTCATAATGGAAGGTGTTGTTCTTGTTAAGCATGTACTACATTTGAATTGGAAATGTAAATTAACCATATTGGTAACTATTTAAAAGTTCAAGGATATATGTTTAGGACAACCAGATTTATTTTCAAACCTATGTCAGTTTACCAGGAAATTAGCCAGATATTGAACATTAGCCATATTGTAGCCAGAAGGGTGTGCTGACCTTAAAATGGAAAAAGGCCAGAGTATGTTCTTCATTGCAGTTACTCCACTGAGGCCTGCTTGGCAGCATCTCATGTAGAATCCAAGCTGAAAACCAAAGGACCTAGTTATCACCCTGTATTCTCAGTGGAGACATTTTATCGACAGAAGGTTTTGAAACAACCATCCTCTTTTTTTATCAGTGGCAGCAGGATGAGAGTCTGTTGTTGAGCCACTGGAATTAGGTTAGGTTACTGTTAACACACAGGAAGCAAAAGATAAGTAAATGAATTTAACCTGGTTTGGCAGATAGAGGACCACATGGCCTATTTCTGTCTTGTAGAAATTTGATCATGTTGGTATGAATATGTCTCCAACAATTCTAGAAACCATCCACAACTTCAATGAAGAAAAACCCAAACATTAAAGAAGCAGCTAAAATATTCTTTTTTTTTCCTGTTAATAGCTTTTCTGTTGACCATTTTATGCATTAGTTTTGCTTTCTCTTTTCCGGTTTCTAGGCAGTAGTAATGTTGGGGACACACTCCCCACTGGGCAGCTGTCCAACATCCCATGGCGCCGGGCAGGAGTAAAGTACACAAATAATGAAGCCTATTTTGATGTCGTTGAAGAAATAGATGCAATTATAGATAAATCAGGTAATTGTGTGCATGTGGTCTTATTTGGGAAAAAAAAAAACAGTTCAGCTGACATAAGCTGAAGAGAAAATTGAAATCCCTTGGCAGTGTAGTTTCAGTGGAAAGACTAATGTTTAAATTTATTTTGCCCAGAGATTACATATAATTTTCATAACCACTAGTTGAGATCGGCCAATCTTTGTAAATCAGATCTTATGTTGTCTTACATTAAGCTGATTATTACCCTGTACACCTCTCCTCTTGTCATTTATTCATTATGTACTTGAATAAGTACATTTATTGTACTTCTACCATACACCATACTTTTGCTACTATTTTTTGTGCAGTATTCCTAGTAAAGATCCCAGACAAAACAACAGTGCTGTATTAGATCACAAACATTTTAAACATCTCCAACCCTCACATTTTATACGTAAGGAAACTGAAGTTCAGAAGGGTTGAGTAAGCTGCTCACGGTAGCACAGCTAGTTGGTGTGAAACTGAGTTATTGTGAACTATAACCAATATCTTTTCTTTAGTGAGTACTCTTTTCATTATAAAATTACATCATACAGAAAATAGCTGTATTATTGCAGAATAATGGCTCCTATTTCTTAAAAGTTAACAGGTAGCTTAGTCCATTTCATGGGAAACTTGCCTCATTTTAAAATTCTGTGAAAAATATTTTAACTTCATATCCAGCAGTTTTACAAGTTTGACTCTATAGAGATATAGACAGGTTTGATTTTCCTTAGAATTATCATATTCCAACCTGTGTTAGGTATGGGCCATGGCACTCAGTGAAGAAGCTGAATATAATGGATCTCTGTCCACTGATTTGGTAATAGATGTGCAAAGGTTCAGTATATCTGACATCCAGGAGGTATCTCTATTAGTTCAACACAGTGATAACTCATAAAAACACAGATCCGATGATGTTATCACCTTCTTTCTTTCTTCAGGATCTACAGTCTTTGCAGAAATTCAGGGGGTCATTGATGCTTGCATTAAGTTATCCGGAATGCCTGACCTTTCCCTTTCTTTCATGGTAGGTTTTTTTGTTTGTTTTGGGGGGCTTTTTTTCATGGTAGGTTTTGTTCGCCTGTCCTATAGCTCCTTGCATGCCTAATACATATGCAGCACTAAATGAAATGATAAACACTGAGACAGTCTTGTATCTTAGATTGTAAAAGATTATCTCAGAAGTTATCCTAGCACAACTTACCAGGACACTCGCTTACGTGATGAGCATGGCCTGTATGGAAAGGCTGAGGAGAGGTCTTTGCCTAGGTGTGCTAGAAGTAACTTAAATGGCTAGCTGGCTTCTGCAATTCTGCAGCTTTGATTTCATTGGATTATTATTTGTTTTGCTGGTATGAAAGGGCATTAATCTTTTGCATCATTTTAGACTCGGCATGACACACCACTAAGAACAATCAAGAAAACTGAGTTCCAGTTCAGTCTCTGCCACTAACTTGTCCTGACCTTGAGTTCTTTGAACCTCAGTTTTTTCATCTATAAAATGGAAATGAAACTCTTGGATTTTCTACTTCATAGTTAAGATTCAAGTAAAATAATGATATAAAATATTTGCAAACTTTAGAGCATTGTAAAACTATGCTTATGATGTGGTCGTAATAACAAACTCTTACATGACTGCTTTATCTTTAGGGAGAATATTAATTTCTCATAATATCTGAATAGAGTTGCCATGTTCCTTATGCTCTATGAATATGGTGGTTGTGTTCTGTTTTCCTGGCAGAACCCCAGGCTGCTAGATGATGTCAGCTTCCACCCCTGCATCCGGTTCAAACGTTGGGAATCTGAAAGAGTTTTGTCATTTATTCCTCCAGATGGAAATTTCCGACTCATATCATATCGGGTCAGCTCACAAAAGTATGTTGATCAACCAGATACCGCCATCATATTCAATATGCTGAATAGAACTGACTTTTCATTTTGATAGTTGGATTCTTGAGTTCATCGTTGCTGCCTTTAGCCATGGTTCACCAGGAGAACCAAGAACTGGTGAAAATATGTTTCTAAAATAATCAGTGTACCTTGAATCTAAGAGTAGACTAGTAGTAAATGAGACCTTAGTAAAATATGTACCTGAGAGCAAGCATTTGGGACTGTATAACTTGAGCAAAACCATGAACCCATGCCATAATTTTACTATGGTCTATACACTTCATGGCTGACAGAAGGAGACAGACCTACCTATAGCTCCCAGGACATTCCCCCAACTAACTGGCTCCAAGTCACTCTTCTATGCACTGGGGTTTATTTTCTTTAATTAATTAATTAATTAATTAATTATTTTGCACTGGGGTTTAAATGAATGATTTAGTGTTGTGGGTTGTAGCTAGTTTGTCCCTAGAAAATATCAGAAGTTATTTAGCTGGCATCAGTACAGGACTCAAAAGCAGAGATTTGAATTGTTTCTTGGCTCTTACCACATACAAACTGCTTAATTAGTTTGCATAATGGTAAATTATTTCTATAGATCTTAATTCATTTCTTTAAACTAGGGCTATTTGCCCCAATTGTTTATACTATAATTAAGCTTCAGATTTCTATCTTGATTTGTATACTTACTCCTCAGAAATTGTATAATTCCTAGTGTAGTGGTACCAGAACAATGTGCTGTACTCACTGCACCCCCACCCCCAGTACAGATGCAGAATCCGCACTTCTAGGGGTATAAGGTCTTATAGTGAACTTAGAGGCAGGGTAGATACCCTGGACTGAGGTTTTAAGGTCACTTCCTGAGCTGTCTCATACCATTAATTATGTGTGTCTGTGCTTTTGTGTCTTTATCTTTTTAGTCTAGTGGCAATACCAGTGTATGTGAAACATAGCATCAGCTTTAAGGAGAACAGTTCTTGTGGCAGATTTGATATTACAATTGGACCAAAGCAGAATATGGGAAAAACTATTGAAGGAATCACAGTGACAGTTCACATGCCAAAAGTTGTGCTGAATATGAACCTGACACCAACACAAGGCAGCTATACATTTGATCCAGTTACCAAGGTATAACCACCTCAAATCAAGAGTGAGCATGTTTCTGTAATCTTTATTTTGTGATTTGGGGCAGGGGCTAGAGGGAAGGTTTTAGAGTCTTGGTTAAAACTAAAGTTCCTAACAAAACAGAGAGAGCATACTGTGCTGTACTTTTGCCAGTGGCTATGAAGGAAATACTACATCTGCCGCTCAGAACAGAACAGACTCATTCTGTCCCCCTTCAGAGTGTGCACACCTTTGCTCATCCATTGATAATCCAGGCACTCATTCTCTAATGAGGAAGAAGATATAAAAGCTTTTTAAAAAGAGAAAAACATTGTGTGGCTATAAGAAGATATATAGGCTATTGTTACATTTACTGTAGAAATTGATCATTTAGATCTTTCTCTCTTTTTTTTTTTTAATTTAAGAGCATTGTTTTATAGTTTTCCACAGGGGGTGTTGGCTAGGAAAACAGCGTCCTCACCCTACATAAATGTGCCTCTAGCAGAGGGTCTTCAGAGAAACTGCAAAAGATGATTTTTCTCTCAGCTTCCTGGTTGGGTAAAAAATATTATTTTCAACAGCAGAGTCATTGGACTGCCTGGTAAATGAAAGGCATATTTTTTTAAAATATGTTTTTATTGATTTCACAGAGAGAGAGATAGAAACATCAATGAGAGAGAAACAAACATCAATCGGCTGCCTCCTGTACACCCTCTACTCGAGATCAAGCCCACAACCTGGGCATGTGCCCTGACCAGGAATTGAACTGGTGACCTGATGCATGGGGCAACATTCAACCAACTGAGCCACACCAGCCAGGCAAAAAGGCATATTTTTAAATAAAATCATAGAATATTAAAGATCATCTAATGCAGTCCTAAGGATTTGAAGAACCACACAGGCCTGAGAAGTGAAGGGGGGCTTCAGATGCCTGGCCCTTCACAGACCAGCTTCTCTTTTTCATCTATTACTGAGCTTTCACGCTGTAGATTTCATTTGAACAAAGGGTTCCACAGCTGAACGTTTAAAATACCAGTTTAGGTCAGTCTTCTCATTTTACACAAAAATAAACTTGAGGCTCAGACAGAAACAGTGAATGTGACATAGTAGAAAGAGCATTTGAAATCAGATAGCCTTAGGTTCAAATCCCAGCCTTGTCTCTATCTAGCTGTGTGACCTTGAGCAATCATTTTACCTCTGAGCCTTAATTTCCTCATTTGTAAAAAGACAAAATCTACATCACAGGCTTCTATAAGATAACATAAAGGTAGTGCTAAGCACAGTGCTGTATCCAAAAGTCAATGTTCAACTAATGTTGGTTCTCTATTGACTCTCCATTTAGACTCACAGAACTAATTAGTGGTGAACTCAGTGAAGGTCCCAGGTCTCTTGTTTCCAAGACACTGTGCTTCATTTTGTACAAAAGTTTATGGTGTCTTTGAACATTTGTCTTTATTAAATGGTTCAGATTGTTTGTTTTTCATGTCTTTTTAAGGTACTAACATGGGATGTGGGGAAAATTACTCCACAAAAGCTCCCAAGTCTTAAAGGACTGGTAAATTTACAGTCTGGAGCACCCAAGCCAGAAGAAAATCCAAGCCTCAACATACAGTTCAAGATCCAGCAGCTTGCTATTTCAGGTAAGGATAAATTTGATTTGTGTTTAAGGGCAATTGAGTTCTGCTGAGGTCAACTACTAGGAGTTTAGAAGGGTAACACTCCCTCTCTAGAAAGAGCAATAGCTCCAGTTTGCCTTTCACATTGCTATGGGGCCATAATTGAGTTCTGCTGAGGTCAACTACTAGGAGCTTAGAAGGGTAACACTCCCTCTCTAAAAAGAATAGCTCCAGTTTGCCTTTCACATTGCTATGGGGCCAACCTCTCAGGGACAGTGATTTTAGAGAGCACCTGTTTCACACAGTTTTCCTTTACCCCAACCCTGATTCAAGCACCAAAGGAGTTCTGCATTCAGAAAGTAGACTTAACCTTAAAAGACATTCCTTGCCCACAAGGGAATCTGAACTGAATAATATCCCCACAATGCTCTCATTTGTATATGGTAGAAGGGATATTGGTTCCCAGTGGTATAAGGGACACTGGTTAATGTCAGATTTACTGTGTAGTGCTCACTGTTAAACAAATACTGTATCGGTTGATGTGACCAGGATAATAATGTATTCTTTTCCCTACCTATTCTTTTTGACACAGGCTTAAAAGTAAACCGCTTGGACATGTATGGGGAGAAGTATAAGCCATTTAAAGGAGTCAAATACGTCACAAAAGCTGGAAAGTTCCAAGTGAGGACATGAGAAGAGGCCAAAATCCTTCGAGATCTGTTTGTTTTCTCAGTGTCATTATAGTTTGTTACTATGAGGTACCAAGTGGGTGGGAATACTTATTCTAGTTAAAGCATTTGTGTGAGCTATACGCCGCTAACAGAGTTGCTTAGTGCTCCATGTAGGGTTCTTAAGGAGCTTTAAGCTAAGGTAATTTTTTAATAACTTAGCTTGTTTTGTATCTTTTACTTAGGAAGATTTTGGGGGTGATTTTCTCCATAGGGGGCACCAGCTGGAGGTTGCACATTGTAACAGTAAAGGCAGAAGGCTACAGTGATAACCTCTCTCCTAAAACAAGTGAACTGATCTCAGCCAGCAGCTGTCTTCATCTGTAATGTGATGTGTCAAGTGCAGCCAAATATCACACCTGATCTTAGCCATCCCAAATCAGCATCTGTTCCAAGAGGAAATTCCCTCCACCCCAAGAAGTTTACAAAAAAACTGCCTCTTCAAGTGTTTGCCTTATTCAGCTTTTCACTTGTGCCATTAAGCAAGCACTGTAGCAGAAGCCACCTCCACATGCCCTGGCAAGGAGCACTGCTGCTCCACGCTCCATTCTCACTGTACTTGGTATTGTATTTTTTATAAATAAGATTTCTATGTAAAGCGCAGATTTTAATTTACAGAGACCTTGCTGCAGTAAGTACCATCTCAGTTTTGCACCATTGGTTCAGCTGTTAGCACAGTAAAAATCATTTGTATGAAAGGGGCAAATGCTTTATTAAGGTAATATAAGGGAACACTACTGCTTTTAGGAAGTTATTGCAAGCACAAGTGTTTGAGATTTTAAATAAATTAAAGTAGTAAAATAAGAATGTAAGTGAACCTTTGCCATCTTCATGTTTTATAAAGCTTATCCAACACCAATTAAACCATAGTTAGCCTAAAGGCCTCATGCTGTAGTTCAGCAAAAGGAGGAAAATATGCCTGCCTCACTATGGTCTTTCATCTTTTTTGTTATTTTTACTTTTTTATTGAATTTATTGAAGTGACATTGGCTAATAAATTTATATAGGTTTCAGGTGTACAATTCTATAATTACATCATCTGTATATTGTATATTGTATTGTGTGTTCATCACCCCAAGTCACATCTCCTTCCATCACCATTTATTCGCCTCTAAACCTTCTTCTTCCTTCCCCCACCCCCTTTCCCTTTGGAAATAACCATACTGTTGTCTGTGTCTTTGTGGTGTTGTTCTTAAGGGGTTGAATTTGCCTGTGTCCCTTGTCTTCAAGGGGAACTCCCTTTTCATATTGTGTGTTTATCAAAGCTATAATCAATAGCTTCCGTACTGAAACTATTGTTGTAATTGTCACTGGAGTACTTACATGTCTCTGCTGTACTGACAAATCATGTAGAAGAACATAGTGAGGCAGAAATAAAATCCTCAGTAACATTTAAACCGTTTGGTCATCGTGGTCGGCTGCCAGTCTACAGTTGTATTCCACTCAACTTCACTGGCTTAGTAGTCCTTGCCCAGTTATTTTGCCTCATTAGACATGAAGAATGGAGAAAGGCTAAAAGTTAAGATATAAGTGCTTGTTCTTCATATTTTCCTCCTTGTCCTTACCTATGCTATTAGATTTCTTCTTATGACTCCATTCTTTCCATTCTTCTCAGCTTATACCTCCCTTTCCTTTATGTTAAAGGTAGCCCTGACACTCATCCCATTCTGCTGTCAAGGACTAGTATTTGGTGCTGGTGCAGGGAGGCCAATATACAGCAACATTCTTACCTTTGCCTGCCTAGGGCACCCAGCCTACCTTTCATCTAGCAGGAAAAGTCACTTTTTGCAACTTTGAAATTTCTAGAGCCCAGGCCGGTGTTATTCAGTTGGTTAGAGCGTCAGCCCAAGCATCAGAGGGTTGCAGGTTCAATCCCCTGCCCGACCAGGGCACGTGCAGGAGGCAACCAATCAGTGTTTCTCTCCCCCACTCCTTTCTCCCTCCCCCCACTTCTCCCTCCCTCCCTCTCCCTCCACCTCTCTCCCTCCCTTTTACTCTCTCTAATAATCAATGGAAAAAATATCCTCAGGTGAGGATTAACAACAACAAAATTTCCCAGGTAGCATCATCAGCTTGGCAGCTAAAATCAAGATGTTGCCAAATATGGATTCCCTTTGCTTAATGTTGGCTACCCAGTTCAACTACTTTTTATTTTTAGTGTTTTACAAAGTTCATACCTCAAAAGAACAATCAGTTCATTTGCTTTCTTTCTGCCGAATCCCTAATCAGCCATCTGTACCCGGTGTCCGATTTTCTTTCTGTGCTGTCTCCTCTTATATACAAGCAGATTGTATGCCAAGAGTCCCTTGCCTCTAGCAATTTCTGATAAAACTTCCAAATAGACTATTTCCTTTTACAATTAAATTATTGTATTTATTGATTTGATGGAACCCAGTAAATCCTTCCTCCAGCTCTGGCTATACTGTCAATAAAAAGATGAAAGCAACAAATTGACTTTTTAGCTTGACTGTTGATTGAGCATTCTCAAAGGGGCGGGTCGCAGTGTCAGAGCAAGCACAGCCTGATGAGACTTTGTTCTGTCGTACCCGGTGTGAAGGTGGCTACAAAGCACTTCCAGTGCTCCTCTCTCAACTTCGGTGTGTTAACCGTCATGCATACGTTCTCTACACATCACCCATCACCCCTTTGGCCACAGACTGATCAAAGCTGCTTCTCCCTGCCACTATGTACTAATAACAAAGATGCAGTGATACTTAGTAGTATTGGACTATTTTTCAAGCTCAGAATTCTAGCTAATCCCAGAATGGCTCTGCTTTCTAAATTGTTAAAGGAGTGTATCTTAAGAGCAAATGAAGTAGATGCTCGTTTTCTGTGTAAGGGAGTCACCATCCTTTTACTCAAAAGGAATTCATGTGATGGGTTTGTTCCTGAAGTGGTACTAGAGAAGAGCCTTTGGAAGACATTTGTCTCACTGCCCTCAGGGTATTCTGATTTGAGAAAGTGACTAACCTATAATACAGCAGGAAGGCAGCACCAATGAACACGGTGAACTGCAAAAATGAGACCATGAGCACTGTTTTCAGGTACTGCTGAGCTGATTCAGTAGCTTTGGACATTTCCTGTGGACTCAGGCAGGCTAGACTCTGCCTCCCTACTCAGTAACTTTTCTAAGCTGAAGCAGCACTAACTATAGCCTTTTAATGATATTTACCCCTTTCAGACCTAGAAAATCAGGCAAAAACAGTGATGGCCCAGCTCTCCTCCAAGAACCTGCTCCTACTCTTGGTCAGTGCTTCCAGCAGGAGGAATATGACAAACAGACCTGCACATGTAACAGCTTCAGCTCCTTAGGGGATGGTGACAGCCTCCAGGGATAGATAGAATCGTCTAAAATGAAGCAGACGACTTCAACCAGAGGACGGTCCCATCACCTGCTGCTTTCCTCCTTTTGTTAACCTCTGTCACTTTTGCTCCTAGTATATAATCCCCAAAGGTGTCCATCATTGCACAGATCTTTGTTAAGTAAACATACTGCTGGTTTCTACTACTTACAGCACAACATTAGGCTTGAGGATTAGTTCCACTGGTTGTTTTTCAAAACTAATGAGAAACCTGACCTAAAAGTTCTTGCTAAAATATCATTTAAAGCATTATTTATACAAATGCACTTTATTGTTTTAAACAGAACAAAAGAAAAGGCAGAAAATATTTGCATATAACAAATCCTAGCTTATAAATGTAGTTTTAGTGGTGATGTCTAATCATTCGGGGGTTTTTGTTGTTGTTTCGTGTGTGTTTTTTTAATTTGCTTCACTGTGTCTTGAGCACTGATATTAGAGAAAAGCACATCAGCATAAAGGGTAAACCAGTGTCTCAAAACACTGGAAGAACTGGAAGTGTTTTATTTCCTCTAGGTAATCTTTAGTAAAACAAAAGGTGATCTTTGGCATAGATTCATACTTTAAAGGCATTAATATTGCATTTATATCAGGTAAGCAACTATCCAAATATGCTGAGGGCCTTGAAAATAATCTTCATCAGTTAATAGGAAATAGAGGAAGCCTGAGTGTACAGTACCAGGTCTTACGCATTCCATGTTGGGATCTACCACGTTGGATTCAGGCAAGGGTTCTTCCTCCTCTACTCACCCAGTTCTGGCTTTGGGGAGAAATACGCTTTCGTGTGCTGGGGATGCTTAGACCGCAGTGATAAAAGCAAAAGAGGAAAAGCTCTTCTCTCTCATTTGCTAATAGGAAACTTACGGTGATGATTTAATATTTTACCCATTACTCTCTTGAACAATAGGACTTGGGAGGGGCAGAGGATGCAAGGGGCTTGGTTGTAGTTGGTTGAGGGAGATAGAAATTACTGAGGATTATTTCCCATTGATTCATCCCCAACAGCGCCAGAATTCCAGTCTGCAAGTACCACTCACTCTCCCTTGGGTAAGAAGTGTCCTTCAGACAGGACTGCCTGTCCATTAAACACTCCTGGGGGGCAAGCACCAATTCTTAGGACTGAATTTCAAAGGGATAAAAAGGATCTTTTCGAAATTACAGAAGAACAAACATGTATCTTTAAAAATCTTGTTTAGGCAGGGTGTTGGGGCAAGAATATAAAAGCAAGGATAGGAGACATGATTTGGTTAAAAATTAAATGCAGCATTTCAGCTCAGAACAATACGAGTTAAGAATGAATGATAAGGCCTCAGCACAGACCTCTGCCGGCAGTGACAAAGCATGAAGCGCCTGGGAGTGGCCCTGCTGGGACGATGGGCAGAGCGACTCCCGGCACCTCTGCCCCTCCAGCGGCAGAGAGCACCAGGACACAGTGTGTTCATGGGGTGGCTACCTTGGGTGGCCATAGCAGGGGGATAGGGACGAGGGGTTTCCCTGGCACAGACATTGCTCAGGAGCATGGAGAAGACAATCGTGATTCTGTGATTTCCTCCCGACAGACTGAGATTTGATTTTATCCTGTGGGAAACTAGAAGGAGTAAATTGTGGAGGGGTAGGAAGTGAATCCAGGACCCATATACTGAGGCTCCCCCAGAGGCCAGCTTCCCCTACAGCAGTGAGGCTCACTTCCGAAGGGTCCAGGTAGCACAGCCAGGGAACACCAGCAGGTCAGCAGCAACATGGAAAGCCCAAACAAATTTTGGAGGCATAGTGATTCCTTCTTAACTGACTTGCCGGGGCCCTGGGTCTCGGGAGCCTGGCAGGGGAATAGGGAGCAGGGAAAGGAAGCAGGGGATTGTACCCTGGGAACAAGGACAGAGTAGGGTGTCTGGCTAGTGTTCACGCTTGGATTCTGAGCTTATGTGAAGTCCATGGGCTAGAACCCAGTCTGCCTATTGGGAGCATGTGCAGGGGGGGAATAGGGAGCAGGGAAAGGAAGCAGACAGGGCATTGTACCCTGGGAACAAGGACAGAGTAGGGTGTCTGGCTAGTGTTCACGCTTGGATTCTGAGCTTATGTGAAGTCCATGGGCTAGAACCCAGTCTGCCTATTGGGAGCATGTGCAGGAGTATAACTGTTTGAGGATGCAGACACATTTCAGAGTGTCCATGACAAGAGAATAAATGCTTTCTAATGTGAAGAGGCCCCATTCCTTTCTGTTATATCAGGCCAGGATGTG